TATACCATGAGCAAGTAGGTTCATCCCAGGGATGCAGGGATAGCTCAATATATGTAAATCAATGAATGTACTACATCTTACCAACAGAACCAAAGACAAAAATCAAATGATCATCTCAATAGATGTAGAAGGGCCGGGGAGATGGCTCAGTGGAAGAAGTGCTTCCCTGGCAAGTACAAAGGCCTGAGTTCAATCCCTGGTTCCGCAAAAAAAAAAAAAAAAAAAAAAAAATAGATGTAGAAAAAACATTTGACGAACTCCAATACCCATTCATGATTAAAAAAATAATAAAAAACACTAAAGAAATTTGGAATAGATGGTCTTTATCTCAACCTGATCAAAGCTATTTGTGACAAACCAACAGCCAACATGATACTAAATGGTCAAAAACTGAAAGCTTTCATTCTAAAATCAGAAATAAGACAAGGATGTCCACTATCATCACTCCTATTCAACATAATTCTGGAAACATTAGCCAGATCAATTACACAAGAAAAAATAAATAAGTACAAGAAACAAAAAAAAAATTATCATTATTTGTCAATGACATGATACTCCACATAGAAGACCCCCAAGCCTACACCAATACACTTCTAGATTTAGGAAAAAAAAAAAAAATTAGCAGCATACATGGATACAAAGTCAACACTCAAAAATCAACAGCATTCTTGTAACAAACAACAAGCACCTTGAGAAATTAGGAAACAACACCTTTCACAATAGCAACAACAAAAAAGAAATGCTTAGGAAAAAAAAAAAAACTTGACAAAGGGAGTAAAAGATCTATACAATGAAAGATACACTACTCTGAATAAGGAAATTGAAGAGGATATCAGAAAATGGAAAGCTATCCTTTGCTTATGGGTAGGAAAAACCAACATACTGGAAATGACCACATTCCCTAAATTGTTGTACAAATTTAATGCAATCTCAATCAAAATATCATTAGCATACCTTACAAAAAGAGAGAAAACATTCCAAAGATTCACTTGGAACAAGGTAAGACCTAGACTAGGAAGAATAATTATAGGCAGCAAAGGCAAGTCCGGGGACATTGCAATCCCTGATTTGAAATTATACTATAAAGCTATGAGAAAAACAGCACGGTATCCCACCCCCCAAAAAAGAACAGTTGGACAGGTTGATGCAGAAACAACTCTACACACTCTCAGCCACCTGACATTTGACAAAAAAAAAAAAAAAAAAAAAACCAAAAAACATTACCCATCAAAATTATTATTTCTGTAATAAATGATGCTGGAAAAAGTAGCTCTCCACATGCCAAAGACTAAAAACTAGATCCTTGTCTCTCAACATGCACTAAATTAAAATGGAAATGGATCAAAGATCTAAATATTAAAACAGAATCACTAAATCTTCTAGAAGAGAGACAAGGTAGAGCTCCTGAACACATAGGTATAGGTAAAGATTTCATGAACAAAACCCTAATTGCATGTGAAATACTACAAAGAATCACCAACAGAGATCTCATCCTATTAAAAAGCTTTTGAATAGCAAAAGAAATCACTAATAGAGTGAAAACACAATGCAGAGTGTGAAAAAAGTGTTGCTTGTTGTCTCTCAAAGAACTAAATACAAAGAATTGAGAAAAAATAGAGCCCCCCATTTAAAAATGGGAAACAGACTCACCCAGATTTCAAAATGGGAAGCTGTGATGAATACACAGTTTTTAGATTAATAAATACAATTGGTAAATAAATATATAAAAAAATAACACCACTGGTCATTTGAGAGATGTAAATTAAAACAACACTGAAATTCCATCTTACTACAGGAAAAATGGCTATTAACAAATGCTGGCAAGGCATTCCAGAAAAAAGGAGCTCCTCTCTACTGCTGGTGGGAAGTATAGACTGGTGTAACCACTGTGGAAATCAATGTGGAGATTCCTCAAAAAATCAGAATTTGAGATTCCATTTGACCCAGCTATTCCCTTGCTGGATGTCTTCTTGGAAGAACTAAAAATATCACACCATGGTGATATACACACATCCATGTTTATATTCTGTAATAGCTAAAGCTTCTAAATCACCCAAATACCCATCAACCAAGGAATGGATTTAAAAAAAAAAGGTATGTTTTTTTAATTATATATATATATATGTATATATATATATATATACACACACACACATATAATGGAGTACTACTGAGCTAAAAAGGAGAATCCACTTGAGATGTTTCTAGTTAAACGGGTTTATCTTCAGGCCATACCCTTAAGGGTAATAAATCAGACACACATATGTAAATGTAATATTGTCCCCCTGATGTGAGAAACTGAAAGAATAAATAATATAAAACAGATACCGTGAAACAAAGATTTTTTTTTCAAAAGGAAAGGGGAACTAGGGAGGGGGAATGGGGAAATGAAGGAGGGGAAAACAAAAAAAAATGATAAAAGAAGGATAAAATGAAAGGAAGAGGGCTGAAGGGAGGGAATTTGGAAAAAAAAGAAGAACCAAGACATATCATGTGCAGATACAAATCACTATGATAAATGTGATCATTATGTATATCTGAATTGTATCAAAAAACTTAAAAAAAGTATTTTTGGGGAGCTTGGTTGGTTGTGCCTACAATCCCAGTTCTTGGGAGGCTGAAGTAGGAGAATCGCCATGAATTCAAGGCCATCTTGGGTTATTGACTGAGTTCAAGGCCAGCAAGAACTACATAGTAAGACCCTGGCTCAAAAAAATGTTGTTTTGGGGAAGTTATCCTACAGAAAAAAGTTTATCAGGAAAAAATGATGGATGATAATAGCTGGATAGATGGATGGATGGACACACAGTTTACGTACATTTTTTTGGAGAGAGTAAAAAACAAAAAACGTACTGGTCTGAATGTCTCTCAATGGGAAAATAAATATCTGGAGATTTTATATACATATATATATATATATACACACACATACAGACATATAGTGTTAATTTGGATGATGAAGTAGTACATTAATATAGCTGGGCTGGTGAGATAGCTCAGCAGTCTAAAGTGCCTGCTTAGGCAAGTGTGCAGGGATCGTGGTTCGACCCCCAGTACTGAGTTCAAGGCCAGCTTGAACTGCACAGTGAAACCCTGTCTCAAAAAAAAAAAAAAAAAAAAAAAAAACTAAACAAAAATATAAAGTCAGAATGAGTATTTTATTAAAAAACACACTAGTAATAGTATGAGGTACAACTGTGCTTGCATGACTATGAAGAAAGGTGTGAAGGGCTACACAGCAGGCTCTGACACTGGTTTCCTTATCCTTAAAAGTTTTGTAGCTACTTGGCACACGAAGAACTGTCACATAAAGTTTTAATAAATACTGGTGGGAAGAGAACTTCATTACCTTGTTTAGAAATGTGTTACTGGGCAGGAAGGGAGAGAATATTGGTGATTTTTCAACTCCTTTTCTCATTGGTTATGATAAACATGTATTACTTTTATAATCTTTCAAGAAGTCTACATTTTTGGCACCACCGTGAATGTAACCACCTCACAGAAATGTGTAAGGCTATGGCACCTTTATTCTGATACATTATTCACCTTCAGCTTCCCCTCTGAACACCACCCTCTCTTGTCTATTGGAAAAGCTATTTTTAAAACAATATTCTTCACTGAAGAACACAGATCCACGGCAGCCAGCTAGAGGTTACACGCACAAGTAAGATTAGCAGGAGACATCAATTACACCTCAGCAAGAGCGCACAGACTTGCTATCTGCCATTTATGCCAGGGTTTAAACAGAAAACCAGCTTTAGGGACAGTGAGTGCTAGATCTGAAGTACTGGCCTCACTTCCCTTGTTTCCACAGCATTATACGCTGGGAGGCAACAAATTCTTTTAAATATCTATCAATACTTCTAATTTCAGAGAAAATTTCTATGCTATCCTGAATGTCAACTGAATGTGAGGTCAAGGCCAATTGTATAGAGTGGTTGTCAAATAAAAAAAAAAAAAAAGACAACCAACAAGCTAATAAAAGCCACAAGAACAGAAAAGTCTGGTGAAAGGTGGTGATTTTCTTTAAAACACTATGTGACTAAGACAGCCAGAACCCAAAATAGGTATAGAAATATGATGTTATTGATTCTTGGATCTAAATATAGTTTTCAGTTTCCTTAGAAATCAAAACAGGCTGGGGATTTGGCTCAGTAGCAGAGAGCCTGACTGGCAAGTGTGAGGTCCTGAGTTCAATTCCCAGGACCCCTGAAAATAAAAATGCAAATACAAACTGCCAGATAGGCATGTAAATAGATGTACATACACCTGAGAGGGTCATGAAGGATGTACTGCTAATTAAGTCCTCTCCAGTGTGTGTGCAGAAAGCAACTGGGAAAGGTGGGTGTGACAGTGCAGGGCTTCATCCCATGAGGCCAGAGTCAGTGCTTGGAACGATGCATTTTCTGGAAAGCAGGAAGTTTGTTTGTTTGTTTTGGTAACTATCTCTACAGCTAGCATTTCAGCTGAAGCATCTTCCAGAAAGCACAGGACAGATAAGTGACTCAGGAAATGTTAAAAGGCAACCAAGAAAAGAAATAACTTAAGTCAAGGCTAAGTTAAGTATGTCTAAATATTCATTTTTCTTTTTTCTTTTTTTTGGTACTGGGACTCAAACTCATGACCTTGCTCCTTGCCAAGCAGGAAATGTACCACTGAGTTATGTCTCCAGCCCCTAAATTTTCTGTGACCTAGAATTTATTTTCTGGGACTCAGATATTGTACATAAGCTTCCCAGAGAAATATAGGTCATTTTCTCCTCACCCATCACGCAGGATCACCAGTGATAACCGAAGCTGCCTCCCTGTTGAGGTCACCATCAGAGCCCGATTCCCTGGTTCATCTTGAGATCTTTGGAGATGTGAACAGGCAACCTGGGCAGCATTTAGCTCAACTAGAGGCTCACAAGTAGAGCTCAGACAGAACTCCAGTGAACAAAATAGAATATCCCTGGGGGCACCCCAGTCTGTCTCGGGAGAGAGGAGCAAAGAGGGAGGTACCCTGCAAATCTCCACTCTGTTGGCAGCCTCCTCCATCTCTTCCCTGAGGGCATCAGCTTTGGCACCCGCAGGCTGTAAGCTGCTGGACAGACCTGAAGACTTGGAAGTCTGCTGCCACCTGATGGAAAACAGGAGAAAAAGAGGAGAGATGTGAGACAGGCAGAGCCCTGGGGAGACCCCAGGGACACTGGGGAAACACCTGGTTACAAATATCACCCAGAGAACACTATGCTCGGACTAGAAATGAGAGGAGATGAAAAAGTACCGAGTTCTTCACCAGGACTCTGGGGCTCCCACATCCACACTGCGACTGGCAGATGAAGCTGAGCCTCCACTGCGCCTCCACAGAAAACAAACATTCTTCAGCACACCACCTCTTCCCCTCTCTTATCCTAATACGGAGGGCAGCCTATAATCACTGTCTCATTAGTGCTTTTTTAAAATGTTATTTTTCATTAGCAAATTATGACTGTATATATTTATAGGGCACAATGTGATATGCTGATGGATGCGTATCACGTGGAGTAATTAAACCAAGCTAATTGGCACATCTATCACCTCATTATCTTCAAATACAGGGCGCTGCGCATGCTAGCAGAGTCCACCACTAAGCCATGCCTCCTACCGACTCACTTATCTTTTGCCATGAGACCTATGAAATTTAATCAGGCTATCATTAAAAATAATACATTACCTATCTCAAAATAACTATCACTGTCCTTAAACACAGTCTCAGTCATTTATATAGTCTATGGGCACCTGAGTTTGGAAATTCACTGATGTGGCTGAAGCCAATAACGTATGCTGAGCGGGAAGATGTACCAGTAAGACTAAAAACAAATCTGAAAGCCAAACTCTCTACTGATATACAAGAAACTGTATCAACATTTAGATACTTCACTTATATTTCCTTAAAATGTATCTTTAAGAACAAAATCCTGGCTTCTGAAAAAGCCACTGGGAAAACATGAAGGGGGAATACCACTATTCCTTCCTGCTTGCTACATCATCACCAGGAATGACCAGAAGCAAGACACAAAAGAAGCATTCAATGGCCCTGGAAGGTAGGTGGATCTGGTAGCTCAGCAGTGGGCTGCTCCTCTGGTGAGAGTATGAACTCAGGACTTACAGGGACTACTGGCAAGTAGAAAAATAAGCCAAGCAGGCCATTATCTTAAAAACTAGCCCACTGGGTCTTATCTTTTCTACACTGTAATAATAATAGCATAAGCAGGGTGATAAGTGGCAGCCAAGTCTGGCTTTGGTCTTGGAAGGGCAGGAGTGGGGGAAAAGTTAGGAAGTGTGTGTGGTGTACAGCTGCCCTAAGAGAAACTGATCCTTCACTTGGGCAGAAGGGTCTCACGTAGGAATGAGGGGGGTTGCTATGTGGTTTAACTGACAAGAGAATTTAGAAATGTTCAGCATGAATTATACTGAAGAGATGCAACAAGAAACTAATTTCTCCTAAACATCATGAAGGTCGGGGATGTTCTGACCAGACAAGGCAGTACGGGGGCTCCGGTTCTCAGTGTGCAGACTTCAACAAGAGGGCAAAAAGTGCAAAGTCTCCAGCCTCTTAAGGGTCAACCATCTAATCACTAGGGACTTTCTCTACTCAATTTTATTTTCTCTTTTATTATCTGCAGGGAGAACAGAGTGTAGGGCTGCAAGATACAATGAAAACTAAAGAAAGGGAAAACAGAGTTGTCTTTGTTAACAGCAAAACAGTAGCAATGTAAAAGATTCTCATTTCAACAATGTAATAATGGCAAAATCACTTTAGAAGGCTTTGGGGCATCAAGCTCGTGTGATGTTCCAAAGATAGGCACGTATCTTGCATCCAAGATGGGAATTAGGGCAAATTAGAATGGAAATCTTCGACCCAAAGTGATTTCTAAATCTAAATGAAAATAAGTTAGCAAAAAAAGACTACTAGGAAATTCCTGAGTAATTCTTTCTTATAAAGCTCTGCTTTACTCAGTGATATGGTTTATTAATATCTCCCAGGTTAAACTATTTCATTAAAGTATTATGGGGTATTTTTGGCAAATAAAATATGAGATGCCACAGCTATAATTTATATATGAGACAATAAATCTATCTCCATGGTGATTATGGGATTGCGTTACAACCACCATCTGCTCATGTTACCCGAAGGAGAAAGAACCAACTAATATGTAAATATGTAAATTATATATCCATATTATAAACACGAACCTGATTTTTGTGGCTGGGCTTGGCAAATCGGTATCGGACTTTTTTTTAAGGGAATTATATTTAGTACACATAAAAATTAAAATGAAGACATTTCCCCAAGTTAACTATTTTTCCCTATTTCCCTCTAAATTTTTCTCTAAACATTGTCCCTTAGTTAGTATTCTGGTACTTTAAAAAACATACACTTTTCCCTTTTCTAGACAGGAGCTTGCAATATTTAAGCAATCCATTTTGATATAATGCAATGACAGCAAGATGCCAAAATAATAGTCCTTTTGTGGGAAAAAAATATAATACAGGGGCTGGTGAGATGGCTCACTGGTCTAAAGCATCTACTTAGAACAAGCTTAGCAAAGCACAGGGACTGCGGTTCAATCCCCCAGCACCACATGCCAGCCAGCCTGCCCCCTGGTGGGCTGAGCTAGCCACACACACACACACAAATAAAATAAATAAATTTTTAAAAAATATATAATACAATATCAAGGAGAATTTGGGGGAAAAATGGTATAAGTAGTAATCTGTTAGGAAAAGTGACACGAATCATACACTTCAAGGTATGGTGATCTTTTCAATTATCTGTTCTACAAATAAACTCAAGGGCTGTGCTGTTCCTCAGCGGGAATACTAGACACTATCTAAGAAGAGTCCGAGCTTTGATATTTAAAGCGAAAGATAATTTGTTCCACTAAAACAGCTGATGTGATGCCTTTGTTCTTTGGGGACAGAATACTGTGGCTACATAATCTTGGTAAATGAAGACAGGACACAGCTTTCAATAGGGTGAATGGGAGAAAAAGGTAAGAAAGAGGCACATGGAATTTTAGGGAGAATGAAGAAGGCAGGCCAATGTAAGATCAGCTCAGCAAACAAGAAGTCCAGAAGGGGAACTTTTGGGAGGCAAACAGGAAAGTTGTTTTAGCAAGAGACACATCTGTTGTTTCATGTGTCCATTCTTCTTTGCTCTGTCACCAGGATCCCTCACACTTTGAGCACCTGCATCCACTTCTGTTCTCCTGCATGGCCCAAAAGGCAGTTGCAATTTTTTGAAGGAGCCAGGAAGTGAATGGCCTAGTGAGGGCCACAGATGCAAGCCACAGCCTTGACCTCCCTGCAGCCCCTTGGCCAAGTGACAGGCCAAGGAAGCAAGCACATAAGGGACAGAGCTCTTCCTTTGCATTGGGAGAACTGGAACAAAAGGAAGGGACTCCTACATGAGACTAAGGAACATTCAGTCACTAGGAGATGAGTACTGTAGATGTAAGGAAAAGACCCATGGGGAGGGAAGTAGGGTGAGAGGTACCACCAGTGTCAGAGGCACTCAAGAATGCCACAGCTCCACAACTCCACTAGGCTTCTAGATATCCTCTTCTTAGGCTGCATGTGCTATCCACTATGCTTTCCTAAACTCTCTGGTCTTATTTGCATTACTTCATTTTCTTCCAAAGAAAACAGTTCTCTTGGATGTTCATAACAAAATGTCATAGGCAGAATGGCTTAAACAATGTAAGTTCATTTTCTTGTAGTTCTGGAGTCTGGAAGTCCAAGATCAAGGTTCCAGAAGGCTGTGAGCTACCTATTTCTGACCTGTGGATGACTTCTACCTCACAGTGTTCTCACCTCACTTTCCTCTCAGTCCACGAGGATCCCGATCTCTCATTATAAGGCTGCCAATTAAATCAAACAAGGGCCCCACCCTTACATCTTATTTAAACATAATTACTCCCTGAAGACCTTGTCTCTAAATGTGGTCACAGTGGTGGTTAGGAGTTCAACAGATGAATTTTGAGGAGACATAATTCAGTCAGTAAGACCCAGAGGCAGCTCTCAAGCAGAAACAGAATGTGCTCTGGGCACGGAAGGGTTAATTTCGAGGCCCATGTCCAGGAAAAAGTGAGTTTGCTTTAGGAAAGAATAGACCTGCTTCTTCAACCAGTGGCAGGAATGATGCTTCTGTGTTATCCCATTCATTTCGTCTCACAAGCTTTATTTCAGCATAAACTTCCTAGGTTACCTCTGTTCTTCCCACATATACTTATGATGATGAATTCTGATTGTCAATTTGACTGGCTTGGGGGATGTCTAGGGGATCAGTAAATCACAGGTACTGGGGTATGGCTGAGTGAGTCATGGAAGAGGACTTTGGGAAGTGTATCCAGCCTCTTCCTCTATGGCTCTTCCCTTGCCCTATGCTTCCCAGATGTCACAGGTTAAGGGTTCTTTTCCCACCATGCTGTTCTGCCATAATGTTCCTACCTCGAAGCCAGCTGACTATTGACTGAAATCTCTAAAGCTGTAAGCCAAAATTAACTTCTCCTTAAAGCTGTACCAGGCATTTTGTTCTCACCATGAAAAGCTGACTAATACAATATTTTTTTATTCATCTTTAAATCATCAGTTTTCTCTGAGGATCTTAAAATGTGTTTCACTGGATTCTGAAGCAGACAAAGCAGAATGGCTTGAATGGTGACAAATATGCACATTTGATCTGGATCTCATTAAACGCTGAATATATCAGCTGGATGAATTCAGTACTCGTTAGAGTTGCAGGAGATTTCAAAGATCCAGTCATGGAACTGTCCATCAAGATGTGCTGATAGTAATGGAAGATGCCTACCTGTCATGAAAGGCAGCATCTTCATGTGAAATACACAGATTGAGTTCTGGACAGCGCAGTTTACAAAGGATATACAGGACTCAACCCAACTTTTGTAATTCCAATCAGGATGCTGCAAAGATGAGAACCTAGCATGTACAACTGGTTTCATGGAGAAATAGTGGGGAGGCTAAGAACTCAACTGTTCCCAGAGTCTTTGGTGATGCTTGCTATTTCATATTAGTCTGAAGGACTGGGGAGATGGCTCAGTAGAGTAAGCACTTTCCTGGCAAGTGCAAGGGCCTGAGTTCAATCCCCTCTTCTGCAAAAAATTAATTAAATAAATTAATAAATAATATCAGTCTGAAATTTTGCCTAAATGTCACCACTGTATTTTGGAAGACAGTATTCATACAGTTAAGATTACAGTATTCCAGAAAATGGCAGGAAACTGGAATAAGCTGGCTTTTTCAAGATTTCAGCAAGGTCCTACAAAACAGACTCAGGCTAGAAGTGGCTAGTCAGAGAGTGAAGTGGGAAGAAAGAGAGGATATTTGCTAAGAATGATCCTTTTATCCTAGAGCTACTGTCAAAACAGATTGGGGAATCCATACATGGGGGCTTGGGTTAGACCTTCCACCAGGCACCATAGCAGAGACCTGAAGGGAAGTGAGGTGAGTTTCAGAGGCAGCTGGACACCAATAATTCTCACAAAGCAATCCCATCTCCAGCCTCACAGTTACACAAAGTTGGGCTCTGAAAAACCACTGATGCGATAAAGAGCATGGATCAGGAGTATGTGAGGATAATCTAAAAATGAACTCTCTTAGTCTACACAATAAAGGCTCTACAGAACCCAATTTGGAGGCTATATGTACAGAAATAGATGGCGCAGTATAGATTTCCTTAAGAGATTCCAGTACAGGAGATGCTAACTTCAAAACAGGAAAAAGCTTGATAAGTCATGGATAAAGGATCTCTAATGATATTTCCCTGGGGTTTCAGAACCTATAGCCCCCTTGGTGTCAGCATTAAACACAGCATTAGATAAGATGTGACCATGGCTATAACCTCAGGTTAAAGACTACAGAAAAGAGTCATGCATGTCATCAGCTTCAAAATAAGGCTGAGTGCAACCTAAGAATCAGAAATGCTCCCCTCGGAGATATATCACCCATCCTGTCTTTTGGGTAACTCTCTTGGTAACTTTTTCCTCATTAGCAAATTAGACAAAAATATCTACGCAGAGATGATCATAACATGCTTCAAAACTAGCATCCTGCCCTCTGACTAGAAACTCTGTGCTAGAAATTCAAGTTTTCCTTGCAGAAGCAAAGAAAAGACCTCAGGTTTGTATAGAAGGAAATCACTTCACAAACTTAAAAGCATAGTATCTATGTGATATTTTCATAGAAGTGGTACAATCAACAGCACTTCAATCAGCTTACAACTCCCAAAATACGATACATAAATTTGTGTTGTGGGATGCAATTTTAGGAAGTCCAAAGGCACTGTAGAAACAGCAAATCCATACTCCTCATCCATCCTGCGGTCCATTCCTCCAGTTCTCCTAAGGAGATGACCTTTGACTTGTGTCAGGATAAGTTTAACACCCTTCCAATGCCTTTTCTTGTTCCTTTTTCATAATGGGAAGCAAGTCTTTCATAGCCAACAGGAACTGAAATTGAATAACACTGGCTTTGCCTTCATCCTGTTCACTTTTAAGCTTGTCTAATATCAGTAGCAATCGGCACTGCTTCCCAGTTTATGGTAATGCTGTGAGGTTTCTTTCTAAAATGACTTATTTTGAAAAAGTGCTCAACTTTCAAAAATGATATATAGGTACAAATGGCAAAAAACAATCAAGTGGGCTGAAGTTACTAAAGCAATTCTTGTTTCTCTACTGACAGAACTTGCTTCATTTCTAAACATTGGGGAATTGCCCAATATCTCTTATTCTTTCAGATGCAGAATTTCAGTGCCCCAAGTAGTTCTACAATAGGGTTTCTTTTGTATCGCATTAGGGAAGTGATGTGACATTTTGATACTCCAAATGACCTCTTCATGTCAAACCATGAATGTTGTTTTCCCTCAGGCACCAGTGAGGAAAAGGATATTGTAAGAGATTAAGTGATTTGACCAAGGCCACCAGTCCAGAAGATAGCTGAGCTAGGTTTTGGTGCCTGACCTTCTGAGTCCTGTAGCAAACCTCTTTATCATGCATCTCCCTGACTAAGCACATTCTGTTTTGGCTCCTTCATTTCAAGAAAATTAAAATAAGATGAGATGATTAGACTGACCTGCAGAAGACCTAAGCTAGAATCACTTCCTTTCACATTAATACAAACAAACTTATATTCTCTCCACTTGCACACGTACACACACACACACACACACACACACACACACACACACACACACACTCTCACTCACTCCACTATAAGAACAAAGGGTAAATATGCAGTCTCAACATTTGATAGCTACAGCCAATACTATTTCTGGCCTTATAAACTCTCCTGCAAGAGAAAATTTCTAGTGGACTCTGACAGAGGTGTGCAGAACAGTCCTATAGGAAGCTCAGGACTATCAAAAGGGCCACAGGCTTATAGACCTGCTACAGAAAAGAGATGTCTAAATCATTAGCTTCACCAAAAGGGGAGTGCATCCTCAGGACTGGAAATGTTCCCTCACAGATGACTGCACATCTGCCCTACCTCTTGGGTCCTACTTGTTCCTTCCACCCAGCCAAGCAGGCTTCTTTCTTAAAAATGCCACCTCATTCCCACCTCTGTGTCTTTGCACATGCTATTTCCTTTGCTATACACAGACTGCACCACAGCATTGCATGAGGGTCTGTTTCTGATTGCTTTATCTCAGACCAAGTGATACTCAAACGTTCCCTTAGATTTTCCTCACCAGTTACTACCCCTTTCTACACTATTTCCTTCCAAAGTTATCCTGTGTTATTTCCTTCATATGACTATGGCTGCCTAAAATATGCTGTTTACCTACTTGGCCAATCCATATCTTCAAAATTCAACTGTAGCATCCTGGAGAGAAGGGAACCAGCATCTGTGGCCCACTATTACCATCAGTTCTTGATGAACAATAGGTGTGTAAAAAACCGTAATGAGGGGCCGGGGAGATGGCTCAGTGCAATAAGCACTTTCCTGGCAAGCAGAAGAGCCTGAGTTCAATCCCTGGTTCCGCAAAATAAATAAATAAAATAATAATAATAATAAAAAAAAACATAATGAATGGGAAGACACTCTCCCACACACAAACCCACCCCCCAGATGTGACCACTGTCCCTTCAAAGAAGCAGAAATGAAAGCAAAGACACTCTACCTGGTTCGTGAAGAGTCCATGTCCAGCACCAACTTCGCTAAATGTTTCCTCTGCTTTTGAATATTTGGGATTTCCACCTGTGGTTAAGGAGACATGATGTAAGCACACTGAAGCCCAGGAAAATTCCATTAAGAATTTTACTTCTGAACAATTTTTTAAGAGCTATTTATAGTCACCAGCAAGTTTTCCCAAAGTCTTCTAACCTTTATATTCAGACGAAGCCCCTCTTTGCTTCATTGATATATAATAATAAATAAGAGCTGCATATCCTTCAGGGGTAAGATGGTGTTTTGGTATGTATACAATGAGAAATTACTACTACAATCAAACAAATATGTCCAAATGAACATATTTATCACCTCATATGACTATTTTTTTGTGCACACATATGTGTGCTCACTTGTATGCATAAGTGACAAAGACATTTAAAAGCTACACTCTTAGCAAATTTCAAGTACATATTGCCCTATTGTTAGCTATAGTCATATCACATTGACAACTGCATCTCCAGAATTTACACATCTTGCACAAGTGAAACTGTGTACCTGCTGAACAACACCACAGGAAATTCTTGATTCTTTTCCTGAGGGGCACTCTCCTCCCCTTTCTCTGGACTCCTGCCAACCCCATCAGCTCACTGACTCAGAGAAGCTGTAAGGTTCTGTTCCCCTGGCCCTGACACACTCGTGCTCCTCTTGCAGCCAGCAAAAAAAAAAACAGGGGATTAATCACATCTCCCTCTACATTCACAAGGGCCAAAAGTAGGGAAAACAAGGTAAGTCAAGCAATCAGCACTGACATGCAGGCCGATTAAAAACTGAAGAGCAGCAAATGGTGGAGCACCAACCTCAGCAGACCTAAGATGCTATGAAAGGACCAGCCAGATAGCTCAGTAGACTAAAGTGCCTGCTTAGGCAGAACGCAGCGGCCAGGGTTCAATCTCCAGCAAGCCAAGCTGGCCCCACCTCCAGGGCGCACTGAGATGGCAACTGAGACTGGGCGTGGTGGTGCATACCTGTAATCCCAACACTTGTGAGGCTGAAAACAGGAGAATCACTACAAGTCCAATCTACATAGTGAGACCCTGTAGACCCTGTACTAAATATACTTAAAAATAAATAAATAAAAATAAAATGCTAATAAGACAGATATTGTATATTGAGCATATTTGTGCATTTCTTGCAATAATGTAAGATTTTTCTAGAGTAAAACATGAATAATCATTGCCAGTATAGTTTTTTCTCCGCACCGAGTTCTTCCATATTCGTTGCACAGAGATGCTCTTTTTTACACTTTTCTTACTAAAAATGACTTCTTGAACATTCCAGTGCAGGATTTTGGTTCCAGGCCCAGCAAAAGTAGGGCAGGATATGAGAATTAAAAAAGAAAATTGGCCATCAGTTGAACTAAAAACACCCCAAGCTGTTTTTTTTTTTTTTTTTTTTAAATACACACGTAAGGGGAAAATGTGAGGAAAATCTAGTGTTTTATAAAGTGCTTTCAACTCACTCTGCTAAGCAGAGATTAGCGACACAATGTGGGCAGTGACTTCTGTAGGAAGAAGTCTAGCTATTTACAGGCAGCCTGAGTCTACCCAGAGCCCCCAGACAGGACTGGGGCAGCATGCGTCCCCACACTATTCTTCAAGACACTTGAGAATGCTCCTGGTTATGGAGTAACCTACCATAGGCTGGAATCCCAGAAGCCCAGCGCTGGTCTATGTCAATGTATGTCAAAGTATCACACCTAGAATTTTTCACTGATTCCTTTTGAGCACATCATTGTTTATCTATACCTCTGTCTCAGAAAGAGGAATAGGGTAGGCAGAAGTAACAAAAGTGGTCAAGAGAAGAAACCAGATACAGGGCATGATACAGGGCAATGCTGCCCAGACAGTAGCCTCTACATATGAGTAGGTAATGTTCACGAAATTGACAAAAGTGAACTCCTAAGTCACACTAAATGCATTTCAAGTTCCTACAGCCAGGCGAGGCTGGGGGCTACCAAACTATGCATATGCAGAACATTTCCCTCACTGCCAAGGGCCCCAAGGGAGGGCACTCCTTAGGTTTTGTATAACCAAATAAAGGCAACTGGGAAGAGTCCAGGCTTCAGGAAAATAAGCTGACTAAACACTTTGTGTCTCCCTGATATAATTTCATTTGATGGAAGCTACCAAAATATCATATAGACATTTTAAGATAGCTTTTTAAAATTTTTTAAATTTACTGTTCTTTAGCATCCAAAGAGAAAAGACTCATATAAGCACCAGCTGCAAGAGCATTTACAGAGGCTCTTGGGCCCAGGTCCCCCAACTCCTTCTAAGGAGGCACCACTGACTTCATGCAGGCGAGGATGGGGCAGAGTTGCAAGGCAGGTGGGACTCGGGCGTGGAAGGAGGTACGCAGCCAGCCAGCTCTGCATCTTTACCCATCGGAATGCCAACAGAGGAGACTGCAGAGAAGGAGACTGTGTGCAGCTGAGAGGGTTGCCATATTTGGGAATCTGCCAATGGGGCTGAGTAATAGAGATTCCCAATGAAAACCAGTGTCAGGGAATACAGTAAAGGAGGAAAACAACGAGGCTGGAAGCATAATGACCCACGTGGCTTCTGCTCGGCATTCCCTGGTCACTCAGGCCCAAGTTCAGTCCCAGCCCATACCTCCGCCAGCAGAAACAGGGGCTCGATCACATCTCTTTCTACTTGCAGCTCAAAATGTATCAGTTCCTGAGCCAACTTGTCCTCCGTCTCGCCACAAAGTTTCAGCATCTTCCTGCAACCAAAGCAGGGAAAACACACTGAGCATTCCTGGAGACATTCTGCCTCAGTTCTGATCTCAGCACCACCCCACTCACTAAACTTTTCCAAGGTCAACGTTAGGGAGCTGGCCAACAGCCACGGTGGCTGGTGACTGACCTGTTCCAACTGCCTTCATTTCAGAAATTACTCATTCCTCCAAATAGCGCTGAGTACTCACCATATGTCTGGGACAAAAGGATTCAAGTAGAGAAAGACAGATGTGGAGAAAACAGACTCACACATGCCAAGTCCACAGACGTAAAAAGCCAGGTGCTTCCCTTCCCTGGGAGCCTTCCAGAAATTAGCTGAGATGGCGTCATTCACACACCAACATCTTCAGAGATATACCAAAAATTAAAATGTGATAGGTCTTAATGGAAAAACTCTCTCTTACAACTAAGCCATGTAAACCTAACCAGTCTAGCCTGGGGAACTTAGTAACTTAGTGGGTAGGTAATTATTCAACGCAAAAAGCAGCAAAACCCATTCCTAAAGTGGATCAACAATAAGCAAATAGCGAAAGTCCTGAACAGGCAAAGTTTTCCCATATTCCCAGGCAGGATGGCAGATGTTTTCAAAGATTTTAATTACTCTCCAAATGGCTTACTTCTTTTACACTATATCATATTAACTAAAAACCATATAAAAAGTTTTTACAAGTCAACAAATCCATGAGCCATGGTAACATTTATTTTGAAGTGAGTTATATCCCTTACTATCCCTCCTTCAGTGTGTTTACATATAGTATATGATATTGCTGCTTTGCTTAAAGAAAGTGTTTAAAAATGGTTTTATTCTCAATATATGCTTATACTACTTACTTTCAAAATGTACTAATATTTGGCAGTTATCCATGTTGATGCATGCAGAATTAATCATTATGCTCTATGGAATTCCACTGTATTATAGCTCATATATACAATTATATATGCCTCCATTTATTAAGTTTTCTAACAAGCAAGAGCTTAAGCAATTTCATGGAGCACCACGCTGCATATGCATTCTCTTCTTGCTTGTGTGAGAACTTCACAAACACACATGAGAGTTTGCTTTTTGCACTGTGTTCCTAACATTGCTTTGCACTGGCTCTTCTGCAAAACTGGTTGAAGCAAAAATATTCTCTCATTCTGATTTTTAATTCACATTCATTGACTTCTAGCAAGACCAGATATCTTTTTATTTGTTTTGGGCCATGCCAGATCTCTCTTTGACAAATGTCCATTATAAATTCCTTGGATAACTTGAATTAGAATCCACTTATTTCAAGTAGTTACATACCTTTTTCACAGCTAGGTGAATGTGGAATGGAGTCTAACTCCTTTTCATATTTGCTGCAAAAATCAACCCCCAGTTTGTGGTGTTTATCTCTGTAACCTTTTAGTGGTATCTTTTATCTGATTTCCTGACACCTACATATTTCAATGTCTTTCCCTCCCTGCTGTCATGGTTTGGGGTTTTTGCAAGGTGAACAATACAGTACAAGACACGTTTTATAATAGTTTACAAGGAATCACCCAAGAATCATATATAAGTGCAGGAAATCTATCCACACATTTAATGCTAAAGACTCCAACTAAGGATCTGGATCCTGATGTCCTGCATGAGTCCAGATGAAAACCTAGAGCTCATAACAATGCCTCCCACAAGTCCAACTGGAGACCTAGAACTCACAACAAAGTCTCATGCAGGCCTGCTTCATGGATCTGTACTGGAAAGGCCCAAAGGCAGAAGCCAGGAAGCCTATGCCAGTGAAAAGAAGGATCTGTGCCAGCAGGCTGGAGGGATCTGAACTGGAGCCAGGAAGCAACACTCAAGGTAAGCACCAGAGCTCCCCCAAAAGTACCACAGCCGTCCTCAGCAACAGTTAAGTCCCAAGCTCCTCCAGCAATGAGGGAAGCTGAGTTCCCATCAGGAAAGCCAATGAGACAAGCTTCATGATGCTGAGCAGTGCACCATCTTCCCCTCTGGAGCCAGAAAGTGATGCTCAAGATGAGGACCCAAGCTTCTGCAAAAGGTCTGGATCCTGATGTCCTGCATGAGTCCAGATGAAAACCTAGAGCTCATAACAATGCCTCCCACAAGTCCAACTGGAGGCCTAGAGCTCACAACAAAGTCTCATGCAGGTCCTGGGAAAGCCAGCATGACAAGGTGCTCCAGCGGAACAGCCCAGGAGAACTAGCAGCTTTCAAGAGCTCCAACAGCTTCAACAGCTTTTCCTAACAGCATCCCTAACAGCGTTCTGCCTTTATGCTGCTAGCAACAACCCTCAGGTGGGCCTTCCACATCCAGTACCATGCTAGTTTAATTCAGCTGGGTGTAAGAAGTTCACCACCAGTTAGAAATCCACTATACCTGCTATACTAGGGATTGAATCCAGGCCCTTCACACTGAACCATAGCCTCCCCTTAAGATAGATAGATAGATAGATAGATAGATAGATAGATAGATAGATAGATAGATAGATAGATAGATAGATAAAATTATTTGAAACAAGGCCTCACTAAGTTACTAAGTTACTACGTTGCCCAGGCTAGACTCAAACTTGTGATTATCCTGTGTCAACCTCCCAGATTGTTCACATTATAGGTGTTAAAGCTACTTCTTAATTTTATGTTATGTTATGCTATGTTATTTATTTATTTGTTTATTTTTGCAGTACCGGGGATTGAACTCAGGACCTTGTTCTTTCCAGAAAAGCACTTACTCTACTGAGCTATCTTCCTGGCCCCTACTTTTTAATTTTAAAACTTTAACTATTAGATGTTGATCTTCCCACAATCTACAGAAAATGAGAATTTAGCTATGCCTGCATTTCTCTTCCATCATTATTTTTGTAAGTAGATTTCCAATGTTTGTATATTTTTATATTTTTACTCTACAGTATAGGTTTGAATATTCCTAACCCCCAAATCCAAACTTTTTGAAGTTTGGATTATGGAACATACTGGATTTTCAGATTAGGAATTTTCAACTGGTAAAGTTTATATAAGTATTCCAAAACTAGGCAAATACTCAAAATATTTAAAAAACTTGTTGCAAGTATATCAGAGAAGGGACAGTGGATCTATATTTGAAGTTAAACCGAGTACTACACTTTGTCTTTCCAGAACATTTATTTGTTCTTGCTGGAGTTAATAATCATTTTATTTCAGTCTGCTTGCATAATTCACTTCCTCTGTACCTGATTGAGCCCCAAATTCCCTTTCACTTTTCTAACTTGTGTCCTAAGATAATAAAGAAAACTTGATACAAATGAATTTCATCTTGAATTAGTATGAGGAGGAGGACAAAGTGTTCTTTTTGTATGTGAGGCAAACTTGTGTCCCTGGCATCTCGCTTCATGTTTCCTGGGATTCCTTCTCTCTGTCCTGTGTCAGAATCTTATCATTTTGTGCCTGCTTCTTTCTTGGTAACACCTTCTTTGCACAGCACACTGAGCCTTAGTTTTTTGAGGAGAGGAGAGTCACGCCCTTGGACATTTGTCACAATGTTGTTCTCCACACCCACAAGGACCCACACTTGGGCAGCATACTGCGTTCTGTGCTGAACATCTTCTGTGTTTTGAAGGCACTGTTCAACAACCTGGTTTCTTCTCATTGTTACTTCTTTTTTGGGGGGCGGGCACTGGCTCAGCCTTGCCTGGGGGCGGGGCTGATGTGGCATGTGGTGCCGGGATTGAACTATGATCTCTGTACTTTGCCTAAGCTTGCCTAAGCAGGCACTTCAGACCGCTAAGCTATCTTGCCAGCCCTTATTGTTACTTCTGGTTAAGTCTGGAAGAATTCATAATTCTGAGCCTTTGTAATGTTAAAAAAAAAATTTCTGAAGGTTGTAAAATCTTTTTCATGGTTTTCTTTTATTATTATTTTTTAATGTATTTAGGACAGAGTCTACAGGGTCTCACTATGTAGATCAGACTCACAGTGATCCTCATGTTTTCAGCCTTCCATGTGCTGGGATGTCGGGTATGCGCCACCACGCCGAATCTCAACTGCCATCTCAGAACGCCCCAGGGGCGGGGCTGGTACAGCAAGTCGGGAATCGAACCCTGGCCTCTCTGCCTAGGCAGGCGCTTCAGTCTGCTGAACTATCAGGCCGGCCCTGTAGAATATTTTGTCACAAGTATTCATGTGGGTACTCTGCAGCATAAATTTAATTTTTCTATATATTGAGTTCATTGGGCCCTTTTTGTTCAGAAACTCACGTTTGTTTCAAGTCTGGAAAGTGCTTTTGCATCATTTTTTTGTAATAACAGTCTTACTTTCTCCTCTCCTTTTTCTGAGAACACCTATTTTCAGTCATAGGACTTCCTGGATTGGGTCTCTCATTTTCTAAGATTCTTTTAATTTGCCATGTCTTTGTTTTCTCGCTTTATTTTCTGGATGATTTCCTCCCATTTATTTTCTAAACCTTTAACTGAGAAATTTGTATCTGTTTTCAATTTTTATGAGCCTGCTTTGGATCTCTGAGTGTTTTTTCCTGTAACACTTGGTACTAATATCCTGTATTTATGTCATGGACATACTATCTTCTTTTACTGCTTGTAAACCCAGATGATACTTTCCCTGAGATTTCTCCTCCTCCACCTCATCTCCATTTCCTTCAAATTGTACCCCACCCCACTCCCTGTTTGCTTTCTATGATTCAGGTCACAGACTTTCTTCATGAATCTAATGATTTTTCTACATTTAAGGTGGAGGCTAACACATACACAGAATGGGGAGAAGCTCGTCAGCTGTGAGCCTGGCTGTAGAACGATCTGGCTGAGCTATTCATCAGCATCCTCTGTCTTTTGGAGCTTTCTGGAGCTTCCTTCTGGACTTCCAGATTCCCTAGAGGGGACCCTCCTAATTTCTTGCCTAGAAGGTAAGCCTGGGGATGTTGCGAGCAGGGAGGTGGGCTAAGAAGTCTGCCTCTTGTACCGTCGGCATCTCTTGATCCTCCTCTTCACTGACTGGTGCCCCTCGTCCTCTCGGTCCCCCATTGTGGAGAAGCTTCCTTTTATTCATTCTAAAGACTAAAGCTCCAGACCCTGCTGGAATGGGAGTGGGGAAAATGAATGCCTCTTGAAGGTGTGGCTCACCAATGCTTCAGTGATCCAAGTGACACTTGGAAAACTTTAAGCCCACATTCTTTATTTTAGTCACCCACTCCATTCCAGAGACTCACCATCCTGAAGGTTTCTGGTGCCACCGATTGCCGGGCACTGTCAGCTTGTCACAGTGAACATCACGTCAGCTCTCTGTACATCCTTCTTCTCAACTGAGCAGCAGAGGTCTAGGACTTGCCCGATCAATTCTCAGTTATTACTTACAGTTCTCAAAATTACATTGCTGTTGCCTTTTAGCCTTGCTTTTCTTGCCATTGTGGGTCTTTTAAGACAAAAAGAACTCTGTTTTTACTGTGGTCGGGGTAGATTCTGGCAGGGAGCAAAATCAGATGTGTTCAGTCTGTCATCTGTACTTCCAACCTTGCTGTGTCGCAGTGTTTCAGGGATCTCTTGGGAACACTCTGCAGCAGGATTTCATGCTTACCCACCAGCGATACTCCATATTTTAAACAGCTGAGTTCATTCTTTTTTCATCTGTGATGACTAAAGGTACATGAACAGCACTGCTACCATCTTCATGCTGTTATCATGCTTGTTTACCTTTTTCTCTTTTAGACCCTTCTGTGGCTTTGCTCTTTTAGTTTCCTTCATTTATTTCCCTTTTTGCCTGTTTGGAATTACACATTCTACTCCTATTTTTCTTGTGCATACTCTTATTTTCCTAACATGCACACTTGATTGTACACTTAAGCGCAAGTACATCTTTACCCTCTTTTCAAACAATACAAGAGCTTTGCAATACTGGTTTTTGGTTTAATATTTCATGTTATTGCTATCTAATCTCCCCAAATGAATCATTTAGACTGTTAAGTTTTAGTTCAATCCTTATTTATAATTACTTTATATTGAAGGGTAGCAGAATACGGCACCCCAAAACCCACAGCTTTGGCATGAGGATTATTTGGAACTAAAGGCAAGTGAGAATTAGAAAAGAAAGAAACAGTAACTCTGCCCTCCCCCATTTGCCTAAATGCAACAAGTACATTTACAAAGGTTTTTCTCTTCCTCTCTTTAGTCGAAAACATAAATAAATCACTAGTGACAACTCCAGGTCGTTGCTCACCCAAAGATGGAGTCAAAGGAACTTCATTAACTAATCTTCATTGCCCATTAATGAATGCCCCGTGTATTTACCCTCCCATATATGCAGAAACTCTTCCTTTTGTCTTATTACTTCTCCAAAACTGGTTTTTCTTTTGTCAGGACACTACACAAGACCACATTTTAATCATCCCTTTGGAACTCATTTTTGGGTTCTTACATATATATGAATCACTATTCTTTTTTGAGACAGGGTCTTGCTATTTAGCTCAGGCTGGCCTCTAACTCACAACCATCCTCCTGCCTCAGTCTCCTGAGTACTGGGACTACACATGTTAATAAAATGTGCATGCACTTATTTTGGTCAGCTGCCTGGTCAATCTGATTTGCAGAATCCTGACCCCAAGACCTAGCATGGTCAGAGGAGGGACAAAGAAATTCTCGCCCTCCCTAATAAACGTTCAGTAACTTTTCATTAAATGTTTACCTTGCTGCTTCCATTTCGCAGCTTTCCTGTAGATTTTTTCTTTTTTCTTTTTTCTTTTTTTGGTGATACTGGAGATCGAACTCAGGACCTTGTGCTTGCCAGGCAGGTGCTAATGCCACTGAGCTATCTCCCAGCCCGCTTTCCTATAGATTTAATCTTTTTCACACAGTCTTAACTAGCTCTTCTGAAAGAACATGTAAGCAGTAGTTTCTAGTAGTAGTCTACTACACATGCAGATATGACTTGCAAGTAGTAAATTTTTACCTGAAAAACTTTTATTTTCTCCTTATTCTGCATAATTAATCTATCATAAAATTCTGGATTTCTCCGATTTTTACTCAGTTCTTCAAGATAATTCTCCTTTCGTCTCCTGGCATGCATTCTGCTTGATGACTAGTTTACCAGCTTAACTGCTCTTTTATTTACAGGTAATTATCTTTTTTTCTTAGGTTGACTTTAAATCTCTTTCTCCTTTTTGGGTTTGCAGTTGCGCTACAATATGTGCAGGGATGAATTTCTTTTTTGTTGATCTCAAATAGGACATTTTGTGCTGTCTAATTTTAAAGACAGTTTTTATTCCAATCTAAAAAAGAAAAATTCAACCATAAATTTTCCTTCTCCCTATTTTGTTTTTTTCAGGAGCTCCCACAAGATAGCATTTTGTGCTTTTAGACTTCGTCCCTGCCTCTCAATTTAGTAATCTCTATACCCATACCTCTTGTCCTTCACTGGGTTCTTTTCAGCTAGCAACTTCAGATGTGTTTATAAGTCCACCAATTATTTTGAATAGTCTCCAGTTTACTCTGACCAAGTTTTTAAATTATCAGTGTAATTTCAATTGTGAGAAGTTCTAATTGGAAGTGGTGGTACATGCTTGCAATCCTAGTAGTCTGTGAGGCTGAGGCAGGAAAATCCTAAGTTCACGCCCAGCTCGAGATATTTAGTGACTTAGCAAGACACTGTCTCAAAACAGAAAAAAATTAAAATGGGTCAGCAATACAGTGTAATACAAAGGCCCTGAGTTCAATCCCCAGTACTGGGAGAGAGGGGAGTTTCATTTTGTATTTACTCAATTCTTCCCATTCTTTCTTCAGGTTGTTGATTTTTTTTGTCAAAGATTATTCTTGAGTCCACTGTAAAGTTACAGTTTAAATAGTCACTGTACATTTCCTTTAGCGTCATTCTACTATCTTTACTTCTTAGAGTACTGAGTCTGCTACTGATTGTAGGAAAACATGCTGGTGCTGTCTCAGGAAGATTCTATTTTTAGTGTGTTTTATTGTCAGCTCAAAATCAGCAAGGCTTGTTTTGGGAATCCCACGAGTTCTCACACATGACACTGAGAGGTCACATATTTGCCTCTACTGAAGCCTTAGGGATTTTAGTTATACTTTACTGGTTCTATGATAATTTTTCCGTCAGGATTTATCTTTCTACACAGATAATAACTGGAGACAGAGGTTTCATTTTCTCACCGGCAACATTTTTCTCCCTCCCCATCCAAGTCCTTGGGCAGAATTCTCATGTGTGACACACTCCCCGAGGAGTTCCAGGCCCTTCTTTATGGAAAGGGACTTTCCTAGGTTGAGCACAAGCTCTGACATGGTGTCACCTTACCCAAGCAGTGTGTCATCACCCAGGATAGCTGACCCTTCCATCAAACACTGAGCCAGTGTTGTCAAAGGCAACTTTTTCTGAAAAGGAAACAAACAGCAAATGAAAATTACTTTCAACAGTCACCACTTATTCTAAAATAGCAAAATATCATATATAACGTCATACTAGGTATTATAGTAGCTAAGAAACAAACTTACTTTAAATATGTTTAAAACCAAAAGATTCAGTACACAGCGATGGGTTAGATTTAGAATACCAAAATTCAGAAAATTAAACTATAATCAAGTTCAATAATTAGGAAAAGTTAGCCTAAGGTTTATACACATTTTAAAATGAAACAGGCTGTCGAGCAGGAAAAAAGAATTTCAAAGTTACAGTATCAAAAAGTTGAACAATGTGTTAGTTACCAAAAATCAATCGTTTTCTAGAAGAGTCCATTAGTTCCATTTTATAACCAAGGTAGCTTTATGATCCAGACAGAAAAGTGCTCACATACAATTACAATACAAAAAAAGCAGAAAATAAAGGTACCCTGAAAGAATAAACATGAAAGGCCTATAGGTAGATGAAAAAAAGCTTTTCACTCGTCATTAGAAACTTGCAATTAAGGATACAATGACATACCGCGTGGATGGCTATAAAATTAGTGTTTCTAGAAACCCACATAAGTACTGGTAAGCGTGTGCAGGAAACATTGGCAGAGGAAATGTAAAATGGAGTGGCCCTGGCAAAGTATAGCAGCAGCAACTCAATACGTTAAGCAGAATTACCACATGACACAGGAATTCCAGTCCTAGGTACATACCCAAAATAAATGAGAAGCAATATTCTAACAAAAATGTACATGGATGTGAAGACTAACATCCACAAAGTGAAAACAATCTGAACACCCACTAAAGGATGCAAAAGTAAAAGCGTGGCCTGCGCATAGAGGCAGTGTCATTCAGCGTTGACAACACGGATGAACCTAAAAAAAATCAGACTAAGTCAAATATTCCATTTACAAACGGACACATTCTATCACCCTATTTACATGAAAGGTCCACAATAAGCAGACATGTAGAGACAGAAAGGAGACCAACAGTTAGCAGGGGAAGGAAAGTTGAGGCAAGACTGCTCAGTGGTACAGGGTTTCCTTTCTGGGGTGATGAAACTCTTCTGGATCGCCATAATGGTGACAGTCACACAATGCCGTGTGAGCCCCAAATGTTAAGATTACTGTGCACTTCAGAATGGTGCCTTTTGTGAGTACCAAGCTGCTTGCTACATTTTGAACAGGATGTGTCTCCTCAAAGTCTCAAGTGGAAAGCTTGGTGGCTGATGGGCTCTAACTTCATCAGTGGCATTCCCAGGAGACGATGGGAGGGGAGGGAGCGGGTGATGGGAACTGACCTTGTGAGCTATGCCTTGTCCCCATCCCTTCCTCAGGGGCTCACCTTCCCCCTCTCTGCCTCCTACCTGCCACACGGTGAGCAGCTGCCCTTTGTTAGCCCATTCCACCACAATTTTTTTGCCCCACCACAAGTTTAAAGCAACAGAGCCAGCTAAGCATGCTCAAACTAAGCCAAGATGCAACTTTCCTTCTTTAAACTGTTACTCTCAAGTATTGCATTACGGTGATGAATCACTAGTACACAACAGAAGAAGGTAGCATGCTCTGTCCCCTCCTCATGAAGGGCCAAAGCCCTGACAGAGTTGACCAGCCAGCACTCACAGACAGCAGCCACAAAGCAAGATAGGAACCCCTAGCATAGCCTCATCTTCCAGCCATTATGGGCATACAGATAGCTCTTCACAGGGCAGGCCAAATAGCTCAGCGGATTAAAGCACCTGCAAGCAGGCTCAGGGGTTGAGGTTGGGGTCAGGGGCCTGCTGTGCTGGCCCTGCCCTCGGAGCACACTGAGATGGATTGAGACTGGGCATGGCGGCGCCTGCCTGTAATCCCAGCACTTTGGGAGGCTATAAATAGGAGAATCACTAAGAGTCTGATCTAGTAGTGAGACTCACACGCTATAGACTGTTCCCTAAAAAAACACCAAAAAAATGGTTCTTGGCTCTTCATATAGTGGTTGTTTTTTTTTGTTTTTTTGTTTTTTTTGTGGCTGGCTCAGCACACCCTAGGGGCAGGGCTGGTATGGTATGTGGTGCCTGCACTCTTGCCGAAGCTTGCCTGCAGCTGCTTTAGACTGCTGAGCTATTTCACCAGCCCCTAGTTCTTCATATAGAAAGTGACTAACTTACACCCAGCCCAGGGGGGTTCCAGTACTGTCAACTAGAGGTCTCCCTCTACAATGCACGTACAAATGGAATGCTCATAGAGGATGGACACTCCATACAGGAGCAGCAGCACACCAGCAGCAAGTAAAACTAAACACTGCTCTCATAGAACTCCTCCTGCAGAGACAGTTAATAAGCACCATTAGATCCTGCCCTATGTGTGTCTTCATTTAGCTACTCATCAATATCCTCTTAATAATCTCAGTAACAAACTGATAATCACAAACAAAGTGTATTCTCTGAGTTCTGGGAGCCAGTGGTCACCAATCCCTGAGATCTACAATTGAAAACAGATGTGAGGAATGATTTTTGTGGGACTAAGCCCTTAATCTGTGGGCTTTGAAGCCAGGAGTAACACCAGGTGGACAATGTCAGAATTGAAATAAAGTATAGGACACCCAACTGGGGTTTGGATTATTGCAGAAATGTTTATGTCTATGTCTATGTGTATGTGGTGGTAGGGATCACATGTAATTGGTCACAGAAGTGTTGCATGTGAGTGGAGAGAGTATATTTTTCACATAAGTGGGCTTACCATCCCAGTGTGAGTTCACAGGAAGGGCATATGTTAACATACTGATTCACAACCAGGGTTGATTTTGTCTTCCTAGGGACATCTGGAAACATCTGGAGACATTTCAGGTGTTGTGAAGTGAGCAATATTGCTGGTATCTAGTGAGCAGAGGCCCAGGATTCTACTACACACCTGTCAGTGTACAGGACAGCCTCCACTGACGTGAATTGCTAAGCTCAAAATGCGCAGTGGTGAGGATAAGAAACTGGTTTAGTTTGCAAGTTCTTAGAACTTGCAGAAAATGAAGATGCTCCAACCTAAATTTCAGATCATACAGTCAGTCATACTGGCCAGCTCCCATAGAAAGGCCATTGTGGTTTATGGCAAACACTCACAGTTCCCATGACCTAGCTTCAGGGCAAGACTTCAGCTTTCCTGAATCTTCCTTCAGATTTTGACAAAGTAGTGAGGGAGGATTCTGCCTACCATGGTGTAAAGAGGACTTCTGCTAGCCTAGGACTACACATTCATTGGAGAAATCTATCCGCCAGTAGGTGAGCAGAGTTTATCCAGATATGGAAAATCAGACTAGTCTATGAGTTGAGCAGGTAACTACCAATAAGTGACAAATGAGGAAAATGGTAGTTTCAAAGGAACAAGTACAGCCACTGACAGACCCCAGCTTTGGAGATAGGGACCTGCAGGGGCAGACAGTGTCGTGTCTGCATAACACAGCACAGCTCAAAGCAACAGAGCTGGAGGTGATTTATTCCTGGGCCTGGTGAGCAGCTCCATTTCCTCAACATCTCATCACCGAACACTCACACTGACAATGCCCAATGTCCTCAAGGGGCAAAGAGGATAGAATTACGTGACCAAGTGCCACAAAGAAGAAAAACATTCCTGTTTCAATGTCTTTTTAATTCTCAATATTTTAACAAGAAAAGAAGAATAAGATTTCTCCATTTCACCTGCTCTAGCACACCGACTTATCTATATCTGTTTAATTTTTGAACAGCATCTGGCCTTCCTTTGCACACAAGAACGGTTTTCATGTTATTCCCTATCACTGTCTTGGCGCTACCTTGCTTTCTATTCTCGTTCGTGGTGCTGAGCGCCTCCATTCGTGCCTGGTAGGAGCCGCACCACTGAGCTACCACAAGCTCTTTTTCCTTCGCAAAGCAGCTACCTAAAAGACTACATGCAGACAGCCACGTGCGCGTACTCAGGTCCTCTGCCAACGCGGTGAATGCCCCTCTGTGAGGGATGCTGAGGTCAATTAGAGGACTTGGATGCCAAATGCAGGAAAAGGAGGGTTAAATGGTGAACACTCAGCTAAATGTATCAAGTTTTTATTTAGGACAATGCTTTAAGAATCAACAAGCTGAAAGGAAACTGCCACATGACAAAAGGAAGTAGATTATTAGGGTGGTATCGTTCATATCAAAAAAGAACTGGGATGCCTAAAAGGAAAGGCAGCAGATGTTAATGAACTGTAACTTCAGACTACAAATTATTTGTATTTGTAAATTCTCTTGCTGAAGTGTCAATTGAGGGCTCAGTGGAAGACAGGCACTGTAGCCACCTCACACCATCTCCTGTCTTGTATCACTAAGGCCTAGTTTGTGCTCCCTACTACCCTTGCTCACCCCCAATGTGTGTATAAAAACATGCAATCATCAAAGGAGTGAACTGCCCAAAGGGAACTACAAAAGCCACTGCAATTTGATTCCCCCGTTCCCCAAGATCTGTGCTGAGAGCTGGTCCCTAAATTGTGTGTGTGTGTGTGTGTGTGTGTGTGTGTGTGTGTGTGTGTATGTGTGTGTGTCCCATATCAAACTCCTAATCTTGTGCTTGCCAGGCAGGTGCTTATACCACTGAGCTATCTCCCCAGCCCCTGAGCCCTGGTCCCAATCCTCAATAAATATTAGTGACTATCTTGGCAAACTTCATGGTGGCCAGTGATATTTCAGAGTGAAAGGAAAGCTTTAAAAGTAAGATTTGCAAAGTTTGGGACATAACTCAGTGGCACAGTAACTGCCTAACAAGTGCAAGGTCTTGAGTTCAACTCCCAGGATCAAAAATATAAAATGAAATAAAATTTTCTCTGGTTCTAGAGTTCAGACAGAAATTTAAGAAAACAACAGACTGTCCCAGGGCTTGAATACATAAATCTGACATCGCTGAGATGATTGTTCTCTCTAAAATTATCTTTGGCATAAGCTACACCATTTGTAGGGTGACTCAGAGGCAAGTCTCATTCTAAAATCCACTGCTCCCCCAATT